CTATGCACTCCGAGTCCAACATGTCGCTGCGCTCCACCTTCTCCCTGCACGAGGAAGAGGAAGACAATGTGAGTGTCAGCAGTCTTCTGTTTCCTATTCACATGTTGATCTAGTATAGTGACGCAAAAGACTGACAGACCTACACATGTGCCCAGCACGAGATTGACTCTCTCTCTCTCTCTCTCTCTCTCTCACCCTTTGCTTTCTCTCTCCTCCATTCTTCTTCTTTCCCCTGGCCAATGCCAGAGCTCGGGGAGCCCCCACTCAGAGAACCTGTCAACCACTTTAAGAATGCTTGGCGCCCAACGCAGGGCAAACGGGTAAGTTAGTGCGAAAGTGAAGTTGTCACTCAGCGACAGCAGAGGTGCAGTGTGGGACGGATGAGCTAAAGGCTCCTGCGCTGCTCTGAATCCAGACCATCTGTGGCCCCAGCTGGAGCTCCGGCAATGGTCTGGCACTTGTTTTGTGCCATATTTACAGATCTAAACACAAATGGCTACTGCCTGATTGTTTCACGATTCATTAGTCAGACAAGCTCCAGTCTCTCGCCAGCCCAGCTGTTACAGAGTGAACCTTTGTCACTTAATAGGGCTGATTATAACTTTCCATCAAAAGTATTGATCTGTGGCTCTAGACCTTGATGATACCTCATTGGAATAGTCAAAAGGTGGAAACAGGTTAAATATACCGTAAATATAAAATAATAATAATTAAATGCGTAACATTTTAAAATGTATATTTATTTAAATTTAATCATTTTATTTTTTAAGTAGCAAGGAACAAAAAGTCTTTAGTGATTCACTTGTATCTTACCTACTGTAAATGCCCGTGGCTTACGATGCTCCTCCACTTAAAAGAGTGAAGGGAGAAAGAAAGCATATCTTCAGGTCAAGCGTTTTATTCCACAGGGGCCTATTGATTTCACATTAAGGAACAATAATGGCCCACAGTAAAATAACTCACTGATCTGGGACTCCAGACATGAGTTTGTATTGGCTTTCTGCCATTCCTGATCCTGCTCAACACTATGTGTTTAGATCTCTGTGTCAAAAAGAAGCAAGAAGCATATGTTGTTTTAAATGCCCATCTGCAGGACTGATCAAATCTTCATTTATTACCACTTTGTTTTGCTAACACACAATGATTGATCAGAGCTGAGGAAATCAAGCGACACACTTCAGAGGAAGGAGCGGCGTGTTTAACATTACGGGAGTAAATGAGTGAAAGAGAACATTTCAAAGAATCTCCTCCTCTCTCTCTCATACTGTACTTAGACAACAGTAAGAATGCCTTTACGCTGCCTGAAGACTGAGGTCTGCACGCTAGAATAAGCAATTCATGCCTCAGAACTTTAAATAAGAGATTTAATTAACATGTTATCAGCTAATTAGTTCATATTGATTAATGCACTATTAATTTTCTCCAGACCCAAATGAGTCTTTAATGACTACTGGACATCAAAGTACCGGTTGTATAATTAGTGACACAAGGAATTTTTCAGTCGTTCGAAATGTTGGACATAAAATAGCATTAAAAATTCAATTATATTTTACACACAAGGAAAAAGAAGCAAAAAAGTGATTAATCTAAACTAAGGTTCTTAAAGAAGAAAATAGATTATTGACACCAATTAAACAATTGTTTTAAATTGTCCTGTAATTTTGGTCATGTTTAAAAAGCACATTTAGTTAGCAATCTGTCGTCATTCAATAATCACTAAATTAAATGATTTGTCTGCATGTAACTTCACAGTTAAAGAAGTGGGCCATCAGTCATCAGGTTTGATCCTTGGGGACAGATGCATGTAACAAATTTAATCCAGTTCTGTCAACTGCCATTGCACCCTTTAACTTGGCACTTGTCCCCCATGTATCCCCAGAGACACTGGAATGAAACAAGCCTGGTGTACTAATTCCCAATCTATGTGCATATACACAGCTGCAGGAATAAAAAAAACAGATGTGCAAAATGACCTTCTTTTCTCTTGTGCTGAAATCAAATATTTACATTGTAGACATCCTGCGTCTGTGCAGAATTTTGCACTGTCAGGCTTGAAGGGGCATCACTTCAGGATGGGTTACAGCCTCATTCCTTCCTCTTCTCCCGTCCCACGTAAGTGGCAAGTCTCAAATGGTCCAAGTGCATTCTACAGGGACCCTTCTGCTTCCAGTGCATCTGTCATGATGGTGACAGTTCCGGCAACTCACACTGTTCTAAGTGATGTCTTCAGTATGGCTGCTTAGGAAATAATTGATGGGGTGCTTGGGAGTTTTAAGGCGAGGAGCCGTTAAGCATCCACTGAAGAAGCAGTTCTAATGTGATGCATGATTCACTCTTTAGTGAGTCATAAAGGCCATGACAGAATAACAGAGATCCCTCGGTAATCACCCACTGATGCATTCCCTCAAATTTAACCTAAAAAAGAAATGATGTTGTTAGTGCCTGCACATGATAATGGGCTTGTTTCAATGAGTTGCTCTGTGCCACAAGAGGAGAATAATAACGACAATTATAAATATCTAGACCTCAATTAGTTGATGACTGATTTAAATAGACTGAGACACTTTTTGGAATCAGGTTAGTTGATAACATAAAGCTAATTCAAAAACAAGATCTGGATGTCATAAAAAATTCTTAAAGAAAAAGAGTTACTGAGGAATAATTTGATATGAGAACCAAAAGAGGCAGTTGGTACAAAAATATGATTGAATGAAAAAAATAACAAATGAACGGATGAAAAAATGAAGGGATGGGGTAGAAATAGGCAAATAAAAGAACATTTTGCTCTATCACATCCAATCAGCCCCCACAGCACCTACATCACTACATCCTGGCCCAGTGAAAACATGTTCCAGCGCAGAGGTGTAGCCTACTGGCACTGAATCTCATTGCCTTCCATTGGTGTTATTGTCCATCAGGCCGAATGGAAAGGAGGAAAGGCTGCAGTACCTTCCCAGCAGATGGACACCAAATATGTGCATGATTTATCTGCCCAGTGATTAACTGTGAGAAACAACACCCCACCACATGGGTGAGATATATTCATGAAAATGCATTTATTTTAAAAAAGATGAAAAAAAGAGAATGATTATTGTGTTTGAAGCCGAACTCAACAGATGAGTCAATAAAACAGCTTAAATTGACAAGCGCTTGTTATATGGACAGCATTAACGCTAGCAGATGGAGCTACAACAACACTGCATCATACTGATGGACTGTGGAAAAAAGAGTGGGAGTCCCTGAAATGTGTTGTATTGCATTTGAAATATCACAAATGCATTTTAATCAAATCAATCAACTCGAAAAGTGTTTCATTGTCATTATTATTTCTTACTACTATTTGAGTTAATTTTAAGATTTATTCATGTAATTAGCTCATATAGTCAGTGTGGCAGAGAGAAGCATTTCACCACCTGAGGCATTTTTAAGCCATTGACAGGTTGTAACAGGGATTTGGCTACTGCTGAAACACAGATAAATATCCACCATTATTTCCACCAGTGTGTCTGGCTTTTGGACGGGAGATGCTTTGGACTTTGGCAAAGTATCGGGGAACATCAGCACAAAATGCAAATTAATTATGCGCTAACAATATCCAAAAAAAAAAAGAACAAAAGAGCGTTTTGTTTCGGCTGTTGTTATTTGGAGATGTTTTTCAGGGTCTAATTTAATGAGCTGGAAACCAGAAGACTTTGTTTGAGGAAGTGATATCATTGAAGGCCTGCATGTGGATTTTTTACCTGGTATTTCTTTATGCCATGCATATTTTTATGTTGCAACCTTATGGTAAGATGTTTTTCTTTTCCCACATCAAACTACATTTTATACCCCATAATGACAGAGTAAAAAACTGATTTGCCATAACTTATGCAATATACATTTCCTCACCTTTTCTCTCAGATATTACTCAGATATCCACTAACCTTTGTCATACTCCTGCTGAACAACAGGAAACCAGTTTATTCTCCTCCTGCCACCACCACCATTGTGCTCCTCTCTAAATATCCATTGGACACTGGCTGCCAAAATGGAGGGAGAGAGAGAGCATTATACCTAATGGTGCTTCCCTCAGAGTTGCTGAGTGTGAGACTTGGCGTGAAACAGAGATATATGACCAGCGAGTCTGTGTTACTGAGACGATGCATGAACTCAACTGTGAAGATGGACCACCGCATGAAGGTCAGTGCTCAACCCCAGAGGTCCCGCTGTACTGCAGACATGCCACCCTCCTGCCCGGTCCAAAAGTCATTTGGAAGGAGACACCTGCTATTCACAATTACAATATTACAGGCACGCGGGGAGAATATGAATATTTCATATCTTAGAGTTGGTGTCAATTATTCAAATAACCCCCACTTACAGGCTAAATTAATTATGTTGATAGAATGAGAATAGATTTTTGGAGGTTAATATGATAATGTTTATATTGAGTATGGCGTGATGGATACAAGTCATTACTATTAATTGAATTAATGACAAAACAGAGACATGAGGGTCATTTATACATCGTCTTTGTATGTTGCAATGTAGCCTACTGCACTATATGTAAGTATTGTATAACATGCTACTCTCAAAAAAAAAAAATAATAATAATAATAACCCCCCCCCCCTTAACCATTCCTCAAGCATCAGTCTGCTGTGAGTTAGAGATGGCAAGGCGGTGCGCTAAAATCAAACTATGCACTCTAAGTATTCAGTTTAACTTGGAAATGCATCAGTACTAATGTAAAGTCGGTTGCAACTTCCAGTTTTCACAGACTTTAAAGGAATAGTTCACCCAAAAATGAAAATTATGTCAACAATTACTCACCCTCATGTCGTTCCAAACCCGTAAGACCTTCGTTCATCTTCAGAACACAAATGAAAATATTTTTGATGAAATCCAAGAGCTTTCTGATTCTGCATAGACAGCAACGCAACTACAGTCTTCGCGTCACGCGTGTGTTCACGAGAGTACCATGACGCATGTGTGTGGTAATGCTGACGCAGGAGCCGGCATTCTGACTTAGAACTTGGGAGTGCACACGCATGCATCGAAAACTGACACGGAAGAGAAGAAATTGTTGAATAAAGTTGTTATTTTTGTTTTCTTTGCGCACAAAAAGTATTCTCGTAGCTTCATGAAATTAAGGTTGAACCATTGATGTCACATGGACTATTTTAATGATGACCTTACCTTTATGGGCCTTGAGTGTGATAGTTTCGTTGCTGTCTATGCAGGGTCAGAAAGCTCTTGGATTTCATCAAAAATATCTTAATTTGTGTTCTAAAGATGAACAGAGGTCTTACAGGTTTGGGACGACATGAGTAATTAATGACAGAATTTTAATTTAACTATCCCTTTGAGTGCTATTGGTAATTTCCATTACAACTGATTGGAGTTGGCAGTGTGATACTAGATAAATGAAAGTAGCATCGGTTAGTAGCACCGACCAGTCAGAATCAATCTGTAAAAAATAGAAAAAGTGTGGTTTATTTTGAGAACAGTGGTGCATTCCTACTGTACATAATGCTAAATTTAGATCCTCTGCATGTATTTGATAAATGGCTTTGCTCACTTCTTGCAGTGAGTTCAAAGTTACTGAACGTTTAACCTGCTTGGTGGGAGTTTCTGTCCCAGAACAGCTTAATTAGCTAATTAAAACTCTTTTACATTAAACAAAATGAGGATAAGAGATTGGTTGGTGTTACACAGATGTCCGCCGACCTTATTAACTGCCAGTAATCCCACATGTAGATGCTGAACAAGGAACATTCTGGAGGGCAGGAGCATCCGTCCCCTTATAAAAGCTTATACTTTAAGTGTCTGTGCAGTGTGTAGGGGGCAGGGGAAGAGAAGATTTTTGTCCAACCCCTAAGCCAACTCATCAGCTCTTTAAAATCCTATTCACCAGCCAGGTCCTGCATATAAATTTCCACTCCGTCTCATCACAGCGCTGTGCGGTACAGCCTCCTCTGACTCATATTAGCTCATCATACTTAATCTTGAGTAAAATTTCCTAGTCTGTGCTAAATGACTTGCAGCCTTCATAGAGAAGAGATATTTATTTTTCTCAGGGCTAATGACCTGTCCCTTGGACCCACCCTCTGATGGTTATTTACAAGGGCCCAGATGCTTGGGCTCAAAATGAGTGGTTATGTCAGCAGGGGCCATCCGTCATGACTGCTTCCTGATTGAATCTGAGAGATCCCATTGACATTGACTCTGTGACTTTTAAGGCCATTACCTACCGCCACTGCAAAATGATCGCCTCATCATCACTTGTGAGCTGACAGCTGATTAGCAACAAATTACCGTCAGGACGCCGCTCTGACATCCAGAGGGGAACGAAGCAGACGAGAGCTAAACAGTCTGAAGTAATAGGGCTGCAGCGGTAGGTGTTGAATGTGTCATGAATCTAATGATAATGTTGTTTGTTTACAGAAAGAGTTCACAACCAGTGCTGCTGTTGTTACAGTGTATTTGGTATGAATTCCGGATTACTGAAATAGTATGAAATGGAGACTGTCAAAAAAAAGATCAAAAATCATCAGTGTTCTGTCTCACTCTATTTGAAGGTTCATCAGGAGAGTCAGGGGACACTTTTAATAAATCATTATCCATACAGTATGTTCAGACCTTTGTTGAAATACAAAAAAAAAATGGCTTCTGCATTCATATGCTTATTTGTGTATGTATGCTCAAGTGTATTAGTGAAGTCTTTTCTTAACAGTTGTCACAGTTTTCCTTTAGGAGCCGTATGATCTCTGATGAGTGGGGAGAGTCCATTTAGTGGCTGGGATTCATTTTTAATGCCTCTGGTGATCTGAAACTCTTTTAATTGCACAAAGCTCCCATTGCACCTAAAGTGGAGAAGTGCAATTGGCTTTTCATCTTACTTTTAGAATTTGAGCTGAAGTGCTGGAAGTACCTTGATGGTGATTTTCTGTCCTATTTGAAGCCCATGAAGACACTTCACTGTTGCAGTGTTCTTGCATACCCCCCAACCAACTGCTTTATACCTTAAGAGCAAAAACCCTTGACTTGAGTTCTCTGTTATTATAAAGAGAAATATAGACAAATATGAACTCTGTTTGAAATATATAAATATTAGATATATAAATGTTTTTATTATTGTTATTCTTTCTCGCCACAATTTAAACAACCAAACTTTTAGATTTTGTTCCACCTTTGTAAGTGCTTTGCAATTTTCTAGCTGTAGTTCAAACAGTAGAGCATAGTTCTAATAATTGCAAAGGTCATGGGTTCAATTCCCATGCCATGCATGCATTGAAAAATGTATACACTGAATGCAATGTAAGCCACTTTGTATTTTCTGTCATATGTAAAATTTCTGCCAAATGTAAATCTGGTTAAAGTAATATTTTCATAATGCGCCAACATAAGATCATGTTTAATGTGTTTTAAATTTGTGCATCACTCAACAATGACCAACAACAGGACCTCATTAAAAATTGCATATATCACCCTTTTTCCATTTTTAACACTGTCGTCTGCAATGAATTTGGATATTGTGTTTATGAAAAACAATCAATGGCTGTATTTATCTATTGCTAAAGTCTCACTCATGATAAACCTACGTCAGTTTTTATCACTACTAT